TCCGGTTTTTCCAGCTTTAATTTCTTAATTAGCGAGCCATTAGAAGCAATTGTGAAAGGATTATCAGTTGCATTGTTGGGCGAAGATGCTCTGCGATGGACTACAGCTACACAGAGTATTTAAATAAGTATGAAACAACGTAGTTTCGATAGGCCCTGTTCGTTCTTTGTGATCCTGGAGAAGCATTCGAAGTATGTGAGGCAAGACAATTTTTTCCAGAACTAGCTGTTGCGAATTTAGCAGTTATTTTCTCTTGTTACCGGCGTTCCATAGAGAAACTGCATTTGTTCACAATATTTTCCGAGCATTCTTTAGAAGAACTATTGAAGCTAACTTTTAGCCCTGTGTTAATTGTTTCTGCATCCATTGTTTATTTCCTTCTCCCTCGGAAAGTGACTCGCTTTCTAATTTATTCGAATTTGACCAGCTTTCAGTACTTTTAGTGGTTTGCACTACATATTAAATTTTTTGTTTGCAGCACTGGAATTTGATGGTGCGGACACAAAGGCACTTTATCGGCGTGCTCTTGCACGTGAAAAAATGGAAAATTTTGTTGGTGCTGTTAAAGATGCTCGGGAAGCATTAAGACTATTGCCTACAGATAAGTAAGTTTTTTCCGCTCTTAACAAATTTTTCCGCTCTTAACAAACAAAAATTTCTGCACAAAAATTTGTCCGAATCGGATATTTCAACGAAATTCGGTCATGAACGAGAAGCCTTCCAACTTGGGAAAGCAAAGAATAGAAATCGGGGAAAGACGGGAAGGCTAAGAATGAAATTTCTAATCTGATTCGTGAGAAAAGTGGAATATTCTCTAAAAACATTTCCTACGGATGTACCGACTAAAAAATGTTTTTATGTTCTTGGTGTTTTTCATGTTGCCGATGTTTCGCAAGCTGTCCACCCAGGAATTTTGCAAATAATTTGAGATGCTTTGCCTGTCCATAAATAAATTTTCCTTCGCTGGTTATTTTGGTGAAAAATAGAAATCCTTTATTGTCATCCGGAATGATTTTTTTTTCCAGAAATATCATAGAGATGTTGCAACGAATAATCAG